TGCGGACACCACCTTTGCCGACAGTGCCTCCCTATGGCTTCACGCCCTACGGCCACGCGGCTGCGCACTCCGCGGCCAATTCCGCTCCTGGAACTCCGACCGGTTACTCCAGTCCGCCCGATCAGTTCATCGGGCGCAGACTTCAACACTCGGATTCCGGCTCACGGGACTCGCGAAACGGCCCAAGCAACGGCAGCGCTCCGCCGGTCGGCGTCCAGGCCGCGTCGGGCGGCCAGGCTGTTGGTGGTAGCGTCCAGACTGCGTCGGGTGGCGTCCAGACCGCGTCGGGAGGGGGGCAGTCGAGCAGTCACCCGGGCGCTTACACTGGGCCGGTCGGCAGCCAGATGCTGCCTTTCCGGCAGCCGGGCGGGGGCGAGGCGTGCTGCGTAACCCGCGGCACTACCGGCGCCACAAGTACTCGCGCTACAGCACCAGCGGTCGGCCTCCGTCCCGCGGCTACGGACGCCGCGGCGGGGCGCTGCTCTCCTCCGACGGAGAGGGCTCCGACAGCCCATCTCAGGTGCCCACCACCGTCTGCGACGAATCAGAGCTGTCCTCCACCTTCCGCAGCGCGGTCGGAGATGAGGACTGGTTCGTCAAAGTCGGCCGCAAGCGCTTCGGACACAGACAGACGCGCTACGTAGTCGAACACCCTCCCTCGCCCAAGGCCAAGCCCGTCGCCGCCGAAAATGTCGATGACATGCTCGAGGAAGGAGAGTACGTCGCCGAGTGAAAATGCGTCCCTGAAACCTATTCCTGAAACCCAATTAAATGCCCGCGCACACGCGTGTGCACACGTGCGCGCAACGCATTGCTGAACCAGTGCGCAAGACCCAAGCATCGGAACTTCAACTATGGAAGACTCAACCGCGCCGAAGCCTCAATCATCGAAGACTCCGGTCCGCTGACGGCCTAGCACACTTTGGACGAGTATCGGTAGCTGAACACCTCATCCACTTGGTCATATTTTATGTTGCGAAGCTTAATGAGCTGTGCTTCCGGCTCGAGATTTTTTATCTCTTTTCCTCTTCGATCGTGAGTACGTCGGTCCTGAGTTGCTAGCTCTTTTTCGTTTTCTGTCGAGAGATTAGGCCAGAAGGCCATGATGTCTTTGCCGACAGGAATGTCAGGATTGAGTCTGCCAAAGTTTTGCTGGAGTCTCTGTTGCTGTTTTGCGAAATATAGGACATTAACTCGTGCTATTTGCAGAGCGTCCTGGATAGTGCATTTTGGATAGACATCACCCCAGGCAGCTCCTCCAGCGACTTTGGTGAATCCGCGAGCGCCTGTGTACAAGTTTCGCCAGATGTCTGCCCCCATGTGTGCGTATGCTTTCAAATCCTGGAAGACATGTCGTTCCCCAAAGCATCTGCGTGAAGCTGGCAACAGACTGAGTCTGTATAGCCATTCGTCAATTTCCATAACATCTTCGAAGATGCGATAGAACTCCGATTCCCAAAAGAGCTGTCGTTTCAAACTTAAGCCAGCTGCAGATGCAGTGAGAGCCTTGCGATATATAGCCTCATTTTGCCACAGCCCCAGCTTAAGTTCAGCTAGACGGAGCATAGTCAATGTCTGCATACCAAACACATTATTGATGTCTTCCTCTCGATCCTCATAGTATTGAAGACATACATTGTCCATATGGATTACATCGGTAGGACCCTTCTCCAATATGCCAAGAGTAAGAGCGAAAGCGGGATCGATCAGCACCCACTTCTGGATGTCATATGATAACGTCCGAGTACTCAGACGTTCTCGCCTGGCCTCTGTAAGCCTCAAGGTTGCAATAGTTGCATTTGATAATCCTTGAGTCCACCAACCTGACAATGAAAATTCTCCAGGACTATAATCCGTTCGCCACCCTTCAGATTCTTCACCGAATTGAAGCATAATATTCTCACTATGACCGTCACAATGGAACACTCCACGACTCCATAAATCCTCAAAAAACACCCATAAGCTATAACTACTGGAAATCATCTAAAATAAAAGTAATTAAAAATAGGCAGTAGGAACTTACATGTTTAACATGCTGAATGGCTGTCGTAAGAAGTGCTGGCATCACTTCTTGCTCCAGGACTTTAGTGTTGCGTTGCTGCTGCTGTACGACTCCCGCCATATCATCAATATCTTTACGAGGGAAGTCATGTACCATAGCAAATGTTGTGCCTGGAGCAAACTCCATTAAGAAACCATTCATAATAGGATGTGCCTTCATCTCTGTTCGACCCGTTTCTGGATCTGTATGTCGCCGATACATAGCATATACGGAAGGGATATATCCAGCGTTCGCTAATATTCTTCCTTTAATTTGTTCTCCCTTTAATTCCTCCAATTGCTGTTCAAATTTAGCTGTTGATATAGTAGCAGTCTTCTTAACCAATTTCCAAAACACAGAGACTGATCGTTCCTCTGTCGGAATTAAGTTGTCTTGACCACATTCGGGTATTAGATGATACTTGTCTTGTGGGAAAACATATCCCTCCGGTAAATTCTGTTTATTTTCGGTTGTATTTTTTGCACGTAAAGCACAGTCAACGAACAAGTCATAATCAGGAACAGTGTCCGATGGGTGTGATATCTTCCACAACTCTGATGATGGATTCATTATAGTAATTCGAACACCCATCCCGAAAGCACCGCTGTTCTTAATAATCTTCTTCGTAGTGGCGTCCCGCCAACACCGGACACCGGGCCATACGCCTTTGTCCAGCAATTCGCATATTCCATCCGGATCGCTCATACCTCGAATTGCCTCCCAAGTCGCATCCACTGGTACATCCGGGGCCCAAAATACACTCGGGGTCCCGGCAACAGTCGACTTTTCGTTCTTGCCAGTCGACTCTTCGTTCTTGCCAGTCGACTTTTCGTTCTTGCCAGTCGACTCATGGCTCACTAGCTCACCACCTTCGATACTGTCACTTACTTCGTTGCTAGAACTCTGAGCTGCAACATCCGCCACCTCCAAAACATCTTGTCCTAAAACATCTGGAACCAGCACGTCTTTCGATCCTATTAAGTTCAGCATGGCCACATCATGGTCTGGTCCCAAACGACCGTCATTGGCATTGGAAGACACCAAACCATGCGTCCCAATCGCGAGGACCAAAAATTGTGTTCGCATTAGTTAATTGACCCACCTATGTAAGCCCTCCTATAAACGTGTCCTCTGAAAACCGTTCCCTCTTGTGGAATGGTTATTGTGCGAGTGTGCTATGATCTTGCACCTTCCACTTATTTTATTCAACACTTTACATTTCACCTTACAATCTATTATGTGATGTACGCTTACAGATAGATATGCATTACATATATATATGCTATAGATGTGTGTGCGCCACACACATACATGCCGCACACACATATATACCACGTCATAAACCTGATATAGCAGCCTAATATGCTACTAAGTATGGCCGCTGGAGCCGCAGTTCCGTCGTTGATTAGGACTTTCAAGAAGCATATAAAAGATCTTGATGAGTTTGATTTCACTTGTGAACAACGCAAATCTGGTACGGGCCACCCGACTCTCACCCCCACCCCCACCCCCACCCGAGTGTCACACCATTTAAGCCCCACCTCCTCCACCCCCACCTCCTCCACCCTAACAGTACTAGAATTGCAGGAATCACCGGAACTCTTGGATTTTGGGGTGGTCTCTCGATTGGATGCCTCGTAGGATTTTGGGCAGGTATCAGATTACATAATAAGGTCAAGGCAATTCAGAAAGTCCGTCAATTGTGGATTGGCGATTTGGATAATGACGAGGATGAAGAAGATGATGACGAATCAGGATACGAACGGTAATCTATAACACGATCGTCCAGAATAGACTCTTCTTCAGTGACCTTGCTTCGACGTCTCCTCGCGCTCTAGCCATGCAAGCTGCTATGCCCCAACATAGATGCCAACTCTAGTTAGATAGCTTGATGCAATCAATCTTAGCACCCGCAGCCTCACAATTACCAAGCTGCTGAGCCACACCCAGCCCAATGCTGTTGAACCAATGCTGTTGAACCACACCCAGCCCAATGCTGCTGAACCACACCCAGTCCACTGCTGCTGAACCACACCCAGTGTACAGCCTAGTAGCCATTAAGTCCATTCGCAGGGTCCCAAAAAGTTACCAAGATGCATGCAGTCAAGTATCGCTCACTGTGTCTGTATCTGTGCTATAGTGTGTGCATCCAATTTAACAGTATCAGAGTTGCACAGTATCACTTAGTCCTTTAGGGTGACGGGATCCGGTCCGGTTCCGTCGGGTCCTCGAATGATTTCGCCTTCGCTCAAAAATGGTAGTTCGACAACGTCAGCGATTCTGAGGCAGTGCTTCTTCAAGTCAATTTGGCACTGGTGTCGGAGGAGCAGATCCAGGCCAAAGAGAAGGTCAGGGCTATCATGGTCGATGATGGTAAAGGCGGCATCCACTAGGACGCCAGCAGCCTCAATTTCGGCCTTGTGGACGCGGCCCTCGATCTTGGCCTCGCCCACCCCCCGTGCAATCCCCTGATACCGACAGTCAATAAGGTGCGATAAGTTACACCGTGCTGCCGCACGCTTCGACATGATGGAAGCCTGTGCTCCGGAATCCACAAAGGCGTGCAACGGAACCTTGTTTACCAGGATCCGCACATATAGCATGGTTACTTTGACTAAAGGAACCTAACCTCATCGGTACACGGTGCTAGGGTGCTGGAAGCAAGCCAACTGGGAGACGGTTATCAACAAGAAAGGGTCATCAACTGGTGGTAGGGGGGGGGGGGCTTACAGAAGCTTTCAGGAATGGTCACACTGGCTTCCGCAAGGTTCCGCTGTATGTTCTCTTGTCTTATGGCTTCTAGGATGCGAGCCTGTCCTTCACTCGACAGAGGGTCAAACGGCAGCGGGGAAGGAGTCGCCGTCATTTGAGGATTTGCGTGCTGCCGTATAACGGCCGCTAGTCGTTGGAACCGGTCCTGTGTAGCCACTTTAACTACATCGTTGTTGTTTACTCCACACTCAGCTAGCGTCTTGCCAGGCAGCAGCTGCACACGTCCAGAATACAACTCCACATTCGGTGTCGAAGTCATTTCCTTCACGAGCTCCAATAATCGGTCAACAGAGTCCTCTACTTCGATTGGAAGTAGCTCATCCATCGCGTCCGGCAAAATCAGGTTCACCAGCATCCTTTTTCGTTTAACCAACCGTCCGTCGAAAAATGAAATTCAAAAATGCAATTCAACCTACATTCGCAGCCGCGCTGATAAAGGCCGGACGGACCCTAAGGGTGACCGAACCAGCCCACGGTGGTATGGGACGGTCGACTTAAATCATTTCCATTCTTCGGGCCTTCTAGTCCGTCTAAAAAGCGTTCCTCATCCGTTCCAGGACGCGTCTAGAAGGGGGTAAGTCTAGAAGGGGGTAAGTCTAGTAGCAGTCTAGAAAGCGAGTACGTCTGATATGTTGAGATCGTTGTTCGGGTCTATGTATCTGCTTGAGTGGATTGTGCAGGGTACGCCGAGTAGTCGCTCCGTTTCCCTGATCACCTCGATGTAGGAGGTGTTCTTGGGTAGTTTTGAGAGGACGTTGGAAAGTCCTGGGACGCTGCACTGGATGACGAAGATGTCGCCCGACAGCATAGGACAGGCCTTGGAGGTGACCTGGCCTGAGCTGTCGAGTGAGTATGCGAGTCGGAACGGTAGGGCGACGCCATCGAAGAGAAGATTGAGTCGGCAGTCGAGTGGGACGGCGGGCCAGCACATGTTGATGATGTCGTCGACGTTGACGAGTCCGCCGTCCTCGAAGTCGACCGCCTTCAGGTTCCGCGGTTCCTCATCGTCGCCTCCGCGGCTACTTTCGGCGGTGTCCGCGGTTACGGCTCCACTGTAGTAAAAGCACAGGACGTCGCCGGCCTGTGCTCCCTCCACAAGCCACTTGAGACCAGAGATGATATTCTCGGCAGTGGGCTTGAAGACGTCATCAAGCTTGTCAGAGAGGACCAGCTGCCAGTCCGTCTCCGCACAGAAGCCGTTGTCCGTCAGGTAGTTGCGAGTGTCCGTCAACGCCTGATAGACCGCCGTCCCCGGCCCGGTTTCATAGCCGATCCCGACCAGGAAGGATTTCCAAGGCGTGCGCACGTAAGTGGGCAGGTGCTTAAGCACGTTGTCCGCGGTGGCCTCCTCGTCAAGCGCAACCCAACGGAAGGTCGAACGGTTGCCGATAATCGCAGCAAACCGGCGACACCGCAGCCCCAATCCCTCCTCAGGTAGGTCGACCATCATACCAAGTGCCTCCGTGAAACGGGCATCACTGTCAGCGATAAACGTGAACTGATCACTCACACCTAACTTCTTCGCCCACGCCTTAATTACAAATGGGTCATTAACACTTAGACAGCCAACAAAGTCGACCAACCGTTCAAAGTGCGGCATGTTCGACAAGATGCTCGGCACCGTCACCTTTGTGTCATGTGGATTGTATGCTCCTAACACTCCAAACAGCACACCCGTTCGGTCTTCAAAAAACTCCTGCAGATTCACACACACTCCGTGCAGGTCGATATGCGCCGGCGGCATGACGTCCCCTACCTCAATCGGCGCCGCACGACCTGCGGCCTGAACCACCGGCGACGCCGTCGGCTGTAACGCTGCCGCCGTCGCCGATGTCACGGCCTTTCCGTAACTCGTCTCATTCTCCTCCACACGCGGCTCCAACGCGTTCCATTGGGGACCCGCCGTATCCACCCCATCGACCGACGCACCCAGATCCCGGTACGCCCGCAACTGGTCCCGGGCCAACGATGCCTCTTCCGCGATTCGCTGCTGTATCATCACCTCCTGCCCGTTCGGTGAACCCGGTGCCCGTGCCGGCATCCCCGCCCGCGCCTCCTCCTGCGCCAGTTGCTGAGCCAACTGCTGCTGAGCCAGCTGTTGAGCCAACTGCTGCTGCTGCTGCACGATTTGCTGCGCCAACTGCTGCTGCGCAGCCTGCACTTGAGCCGCCTGCTGCTGAGCCGCTTGCACTTGAGCTGCCTGCTGCTGAGCAGCCTGCACCTGGGCCGCCTGCTGCTGAGCAGCCTGCACCTGGGCCGCCTGCTGCTGCGCCGCCTGCACTTGAGCCGCCTGCTGCTGCGCCGCCTGCACTTGAGCTGCCTGCACTTGAGCTGCCTGCACTTGAGCCGCCTGCACTTGAGCCGCCTGCACTTGAGCCGCCTGTTGCTGAGCTGCCTGTTGCTGAGCTGCCTGTTGCTGAGCTGCCTGTTGCTGAGCAATCTGCTGCTGGGCCGCCTGGGCCTGAGCTACTTGTTGTGCGGTCACCGGCTGCTGAGCCACCTGCTGCTGCTGCATCATTGTCATCGGCTGCTGCGCGGTTAACATCACCTGTTGCGGCAGGTACGCGACGGGCTGTGAGGAGAGGTAGGTGATCTGCTGTCCAGCATTCTGGAGTTGTGCAGTGAGAGCTTGCTGCATCGAGACATTCCCCGCGAGCGACTGTGCCGCATTTTGGTAAAGGTATGTGGGTTGTTGGGTCTGCGACTGTTGGGCATAGAGGTCGGCTGTTTGCATCTGGCCAATGCTCGACGCCGTCAAGCCGCCGGTTGTATGGAACCCGGTAAGGCCAGCCATCGGGTTGGGTGAGGGCTGGGCGGTCTGTGGCGGCATCATGGCTGTCTGGTAACCACCTTGATAATTTCCGGAAGGATAAGCAATTGTACTAGCGTAGCCACCTGCCGGCGCCTGCTGGACATACGACCTCGGGGGCTGCGGGAGAGAGCGCATCATCGCCGTACCAGCCGCCCCGGGGATTCGCTGCTGGCCAAAATACGCGCTGGTCTGCTGCTGCGAAGAGCCAGCCGTCCCTGCGGAGAATCCGCCTGCCAATTGGGACGAAACAACTAAACGAATAAGGGATCATCTCCTTCCCTAGAACGACCATCGTGAGCGACCACCGCCATCGTGAGCGACCACCGCCATCGTGAGCGACCACCGCCATCGTGAGCGACCACCGCCATCGTGAGCCACCACCGCCATCGTGAGCCACCACCACCTGAATTCTTCCCCGCACACACGCCTAACTGCAATGCGCGCAAACGCACAACTCCGGTTACAGAAAACGGTGGCGAGAAAGTGTCAATAGGGGTAGTCTGTGCGTTGTGGTCAAGGCTTACCGGTTGTGGGCCTCATGCGTTGGGGATCAACGAAGGCTCCTGGCGCTCCCGTTTTATTCTGGTAGGACGGCGATACGTAGTGGAAGGAGGCCTGCGGCATTCCACCGCCTCCGCCACCGCCCGTCAAAGGGGACGCTTTCAGGGATTGCATTTATTAGCAAAAAAAAGAACTCAATCCCACTCAGTGCGCCAGAGCGATCGGCGCCTGAGCGATCGCCCTCCTGGCAGCAAGAGTGATCAACCGCCAGAGCGATCACCCTCAGAACCTGTACCCAAGACCTAGCAGCAAGAACCCCCAGCATGCCCCCCACCTAACAGCAAGAGCCTCCAGCATACGGCCTCAGTAGCACGCACGATCAAGAAGTCCAATCACCCAGGATAATGGACACAGACAACGTGTTTGCTGTGGCATGCGAACGGTGAACAACGCGAACGCCCTAGTGCATCCACAACACCAGTTCTTCCTCCCTCGAACAAAAAGACCCAGGAAAATCCAAAACGGCCCGAACAAATCGGCCACAATAACCACCCAGCAAACCCATCGCCCAACATGTTCAAAGTGGTCGTTGCACTATCTATTCATAACTGTTAAATGTATCTATCTATCTATCTATCAATCACGTGTATATGCAGACATGAAATATGGCTCGGCACCCTTGCCATATATTTCGGCAGTGTAGTATCGCTCAGGCGCACTTGGTGTGGTGTGTGGCTTTTTTAAGTAGTTGCCGGAAGGAGAGTTCGGCTAGTCTTTCCTTGCCGACATCGTCTGTGGTCGTGGGCGTGTGCAGGTGTGTGAAGGTGCCACCCCAGGCCTGCACGAGACCCTGTAGGAGTTGGACGGCAGTGAGGTTGGCGCTGTAGAACTTGCCGGGTATGTGTGTGGCCTGTTCAACGGTCTGTTGCTCTGTGGTGCCACCCGCAACGGCAGTGGTGCCACCCGCAACGGCAGTGGTGCCACCCGCAACGGCAGTGGTGCTAGCGCTGGTTGGGAGGTGGTCAATGAGGGTGAGATTGAGAGGCGCTCCATTGTTGAAGAGAATCCATAGGAAGTCTTTGATGCAGCGTACGACTTGGTCTTCTTGGACGCACTCGACAAGCACGGGATGTGCATCGATAGTGAGAATGACACGTACGTGGGCGAGTCCCCAACTGGTTAGTTCGAGCGTCGCGTTTTGCCGAGGGCGACTGCCCAGTGCCAGAGCATGCCGCTTCTGTACAGAACCCACACGCTGGAACCCAGTCACCACATCCGTGTGCGCGTCGTCCGCCGACAGACCCCACGACGCGTACAACAAACCCACACGACACCGCTGTGCCATCTCACGCCATTGGCGCACACACTCACACGTTTTCACGCACGACAATACACGCTCGGGGTCACACGCATCGGCTGCAGACAACTCACACGCGCCACCTCCGCACCCTGACGCCTTCGCCGTACGCGTGGCTGGCGCCGTACTCTCCGCCGCCGCCAAATACGGCACTTCCAGCGGCAACAAAATCTGGATCACCGGCGCCGATCCAGCCACCGGAGTGACTGATTCAACACCCACCGGGGATTCAATCGCACCAGGTCCCACCGAGGATGCCTCCTGAACTGGCTCCACCGGGGATGCCTCCTGAACTGGCTCCACCAGAGCTGGTTCCCCCGCCACCTGCTGGACGGGTTCCGGTTCCGCCTTTACCTCGGACTGGCGGAGTTCGGCTACTCTGCTGCCGGTGGCGGGTCTGGTCAGTTCCGACAGGACGGCACGTGCCTTTTGGGAGAGGGAAGCGGCGGCAAGAGCGTCAGTCGCTGACTGTGGGTCATCGATGTGGAGGAACTTAGCGGCTCGCGGTGCGGTATGAACTATCGTGGTGAACCCAATGTGTCCATCGGAGTCGAAGAGGACATTGTTAAGCTTCTTGTTATCAAGTCGGTGATCGACTCGCGGAGGGTCCACCGGCTCCGAACGACCATCCTCCGCACCACGTTCCCGACCTGTGATAAAACTCCGCACACCGTCGGCCGTCTGCACTGCACGCGGACACGGGTCCGTGTCTAACACCAACTCTGCTGGCAAAGACAACTGCTGCACCACTGCCACGTCCGTCTCCGAATAGGCATCCAATTCGACCACTTGGTCCGCTACAAACTCGGGCGGGACCTGGTCGGCTACAAACTCGGGCGGGACCTGGTCCGCTACAGGTTCCGGCTCGACCTGGTCCGCTACAGATTCCGGCTCGACCTGGTCCGCTACAGGTTCCGGCTCGACCTGGTCCGGTACAGGTTCCGGCTCGACCTGGTCCGGTACAGGTTCCGGCTCGACCTGGTCCGGTACAGGTTCCGGCTCGACCTGGTCCGGTACAGGTTCCGGCTCGACCTGGTCCGCAAGAGGCTTGGGGACGGCAGCATCGGGGGTCTGGGTGGGAGGCGTGGCTAGTTCAGCCATCCAGTAGGGGTCCAGTCGTGGGCTGGGGACGGGCCGGAAGGACGGGTGCCTCGGGTCACGGTGAGGCAGGTACGGGAGCGGTACGGCGAAGCCAAAGATTTCGTTCGCGGCCTCGAAGGGCACGGGCACTTTGGAGACGGTCGTTCCCACCTGGTCGTGGGTTGGGGGTTTGTCCTCGCTTGCAGCGGAAGGGATCGTGGCCTCCGTAACAGTCATTTCGGGAAGCTTCCCTAGCGGTTCGCCGCCCATCCAGTACGGGTCCAGTCGCGGATTGGGCACCGGACGAAAAGACGGATGCCGGGGGTCACGGTGTGCCATGTACGGCAAGGGCACCTCGAAGAATGCAGTGCTTTCTTGTTTCATCATCGACTAACTAGTTAATTCCGTGCCCAACAGCAACGAAAACGAACTTGAAGAAAAACATCCCTACAAACATTCCCCCGGAAAACTGCATACGCGCGTCTCCCCAACCTGTGGGCAGTTATTGAGATCCGATCTCGGAACTGCGACCAGGACCTAATATCTCTCTCGGCCTCCTCGTCCACTAGCCGCAAAAGCGAAGCAACCATCCCGTTCAGAAACTTTCTTGTGCTGGCTGAAAACAAGAGGCGTCCGAGCGTAGTAGCCACTGGGCGTAGTTCCCTCTTCCATTCCCCCAGTATATCTAATGGCCCATTCTGTACTCTCTGTACACAGTTGACAACTAGGTAAAAACTGAAATCTCTTCAAAGACCCTTTTTTGGGAGCGGTGTGTGTGTGATTCACACTCTAAATGGTGGTGAGGAAGAGCGTGCCCAAGGCCGTGCCGAGTAGGAGACTGGTACTGAGGGCAGTGGGGGCGCCGCACGTGTCGTACGAGCCAGCGGAGATTTTGCATAGAGCGGAATTGAGTCCACATTTGCCGTTGACGCCGTTTTTGGCGCTGTTAACCCAGTCCCAGTCGGGTAGCCAGTCGGGTAGGACGGTGTTGACTACGCCGTTCCAGCTGCACCAGTGGCATCCTGAGGCTTTGCATGAGTAGCAGTCTTGTATTTCCGAGCAAACGGACGTGTCGATGTAACCTGACTGGTAGGACATAGCGAAGTATGCATTAGCATCAGTGATAACAGGTGTGCCGCAGGCCCCGTCTTCGAGTTCCATCATAACTACGACGTCATCCTTGGAGCCCCAGAGTCCGTTAAGGGCCTCCTTAACGGAGAAGAGCATGAGGTTGCTCGAGACACTGAAAGCGGAACTGATGGTAGGATTACCCCCGTAATTGCAGACCGATTGTTCAAACGGTTCAGTGCTTAGTCCGATCTTTGCGTTCTTATTAGCACATGACTTGAACAGGGTCGCGTCCGTGAGTTCAAGGGCCACGGTCACATCCTGAACATCCGAGCCATCACCCACCTCATACAAATCTTCACCCGCAAACTTAGCTACAATCACTGTCGCCGACGTTGCATTCAGACAATATCGAACGCTATGCTCCCGAGCATTTCCAACTCGATATAAACAACCCTTCAACGCCGAGTTAGTCAAACAGTCCTCCAACTCATCACTCGTACTGACTGACACACAATTCTCTTCACACAACAATTTGCACTCACTCGCACTCACACTAGTCACACCCCCCACAACATCCGGAGAACCAGAACTGCAATCAATCGATGCCGTCACCGATTCACTACCAACCAACGTACAAGACGCGAAAGCAAACCACAAACTGTTCATCATCGACCCAGGATACTTCGACCTAAGACGCTTCGACCTAAGACGCTTCAAACGATCACACCAGTCCAGTACTCTATGGTAGTCTACAACTCAGCAGAAACAAAACTAGTTAAAGATAAAACAAGTAATACGTCTAATATAAATCAATGCTATGGGAACGAGACAGGAAGTATCCATTTCTAACCCGATAGTATTTGATTCATCACGCAAACCATCCGCCCGCCTCATTGCTCGGTTTCTTTGCCACAGTTCCTTGCCCCATCAAAATCTATTCAAAACACAGAATGACACACCCAATCTTGTCCAGTCATTGACCACCCACTGATAACTTACTGAACAGACCCTCAAGGTACTTTGTAGGCTGGGGCGTAGGTGGTAGGGAGGAGCAGTAGGTATGACAGTTGATATATCATGCCAATCAGTCCACATCAGCTGCATCAAAAATACCAGTTTCGAGGTCTAGAAGTTTACCATACTGTTGGCAATAACTTCGGTATGGTAAACCTCTAGACCTCGAAACTGGTATTGCCAACACTGAGCAGGCGCTGATATTCGCTTTAATGTATCCACGTCCACAATCGCACTGCCGTTAAACCATCCTTCACCTCTGTCCTCCAGCTCTTCCTTCACCCTCCAGCTCTTCCTTCACCTCGGTCAGCCCATCACTTAGACCTCGTCTGGTATGGCCTTGCCTACCAAAATCCCTTTCCACTCGTGTGCAGTCACGTTTCAGGCAACATGAAGCAGAACCGTGTCTAGGTTATTCCCATCGCTTTCATCACATCGCACATGTCCTGAAATTTTCTCAGTGCCAAGCTATGACGCTTACCAACTGTGATCTGAATTAGATGGTGCGGTACTCAATACCGTTCCGTGTATCTGGTCCCTGAAGAGGTCCCTGAAGAGGTCCCTGAAGAGGTTGTTTCCATCCAATCATCTCACAATAGAGACACCACTCATCGTCAGTCCACGCCGGCATGAACATCTTCTTACATCCGCCTCCGTTGCAAAACCTCTCCCGCGGGTACAGTATCGGTACCATTGGAGCCTGCGCTAACAACCTCCAAACGAGCTCCCCTATTAGCGACGACTTGCCAATTCCGGATGTCCCGCAAATGACCACCCTCATCACCGAGACTTCGAGGCAACGAATTAACCTCAATAACACCCTGTCGCAAACCCCTGGCCGAAGGGATACCTTTTCCTGACAGAAAACTTATGGACCAACAAATTTGCTGACGTCTTGGCGAACGGTCTACGCTCCAGGGAATCAAACCTATTCCAGAAACCATTCAGCGGCTCCAGAAAGCTGTAGTTGTGCTGGCAGCGACCAATGAGACAAGGGGTGATAATCCGCGGGATATCTTCATTAAGGGCAAATTGGTATACTGAATAAAGTCTCGACCAGAGAATGCTTGGTGGACGATTTGGACATCTACAAAACGGGCAGGTTCTCATTTTTCTCAACCAACTTACTTCGTAATATATTTCGAGATGATAAACATGACCTAAAAGGATTCTTACTGCTTTTGTAAATTGCTGGTTGCGAGCTGAAAGTGACCCGCTCCCCGCGTTCGTCTTAACACGCTCGCGGCCAAGTTTGATTGGAACAAGTTTCCTCCTTAGTTTATTTTGGTGACCTACTATGGGCTGCCATTTTGTTGGCTACGTTGTGGAATTATTTGTGTTATATTATTCGGTCATTCAACTCAATCACAAACATGACTACTCAGGATAATTCAATTGAAGACACGATGTTAAGACAAGATGAAGGAAGTGACATAGAATGTCTACGAAAGAAGAGGCCTTTGGATGTTAGTTTATCGCCTGCTCCTAAAAAAGTGTTTCAGGTAGTTTTCAAAGTAGTGCCTAATGACATTAAACCCACATCGAATATCACTGGGACGCTTTATGAAAACAAAGTAAGTTGTGCAAGTGATTCGCACACTTTTGTGCACTGTTTGCGTTGTAGTTGTCAGATCGTCAGACGGCGTTCTTACGGTCATCTGGGACGCGGGACATTGTAATGATCGACTGTGACTTTTCGCGGTTGCACAATTCCAGGAATATGAAATCTCTAGTACAGCAAGTGATGTATGCGTACAACAGTGCCAGTTCCCGGGGTATCCTACTTTACGTGTGTGGCATCGATAGCGAGATGTTGCCTGCCCTAAAGAAATGTCAAGTGGATCATTGGTGCGCTTATGCCACTGGTAGGAAAGTAGAGCAGATCTTCAACAATGTCAATGCAATTGACGCCTTCGACCCCATCCAGGATTCGAACCAATTCGATTTCATATACCTATCCGCTGATGCCGCGCACACGTTCGATGACTCTGATCGAATCATTCCAGAACAACCTAAAGAATCAACAACAATCAACGCAACAACACCACCGGCTACACCACCACCGGCTACACCACCGGCTACACCACCGGCTACACCACCGGCTGCCTTGGAACAAACTACCTCGGTTTCGGTCCAAGGCGTTTCGGTCCAAGGCGTTTCGGCCCTAGACGACGCAGCCGCTTCGGTTGGTTCTGTAACAAAATTGCGGGAAGCACCGCATGGGGGCGAGGATTCTACAAGTGGACAGGTTGCTAATGATGTGCAGGTTGCTAGTGGTGACGAACGGCTTATCAGAAGGGTTTATGTGGTGGGAGGATTAATCGACCGGAACCAGTACAGAAATGAGTGTTACAATAAATCAAAGGCGCTTCGGATGAAGTCTGCCAAGCTGCCGATAACTGGAGCTTTGAGTCGCCTTGGCTGCAAAGTTCTAACCACTAACCACGGTACATATCCCACTACTTATCCCGCTCAGTCACTACCTTACCCAGTCACTCAGTCACTACGTTACCCACTAAGTCACTACCTTACCCACTCACTCAGTCACTACCTTACCCACTCAGTCACTCAGTCACTGTTGTAGTTGTGGACATCATATCTCGGCATCTCTCCGGGTTGTCATGGACAGATAGTTGTGAAGCAGTAGTTCCTCAACGAAAGCAGAAAGTTGGATCGGGAGAGTCGATATTTGTAGCGACATGCACCAGGTGCAATGAATTCTGATGTTGAGTGGATTATTTTGAAGACAGGTGAGATTCTCAAATTGGACAGTCGTGAGTTATTGGGATTAAGGAAGCATTTATGGCAAAATTACTTAAGGGATGCGGCAGCGATAGAAGCGTTTGTATCTAGTGCACCTGAGAATGTATTGCATCCTGTATTGTGTGAGGCATTGAGAAGTGCGGTGGTAGCACGTCGTGATTTGTTGGATGTTCAGTTTCAAGACGACAAGCCAGAGCGTGTGGCAGTACCTCATTTTTTCAATCATGGGCCAGTGTATGTGCACCGCCTATGGATACCGCCAGATTTGAATAGTGGAAACGGGCCTTCGGCGACCACGGTATCCCCATTGGAGATGGAAACGGCCTTGGCCACACGACACTCTTCTTCTGGCGACGTACAAGTGGCATACAGTGAGTTCGGTATCGTCATCCAAACCGTGGCTGTAGACATATCAGACCAGGCACCATTCGCTCTTTTCATGGAGGTAGTCAGCTGTCAGATGCAAATACCACTCAGTCAGTTAAGACTCTTTACTCACCTGGCACCAGCTATGACCGAAGAATATATACCAGGTGAAAATCAACCTGTAGCCGAACGTATGCAATGGTCTCAAAACTTAAATGAGATGAAAAGCAAAATGTACATGCTACCAACACAACAAGGCAACACAACCCAACACGTCACACTACAGGAACTACGCATTGGACCAGGCTCTGAAATATTCGCCGTCTCTCTTGCATCTGTCGACATCGACAAACTTTGCATAGAAGGCATCAAACGACTCTGGTGTGGCGACCCTAAGTTCACACAACTCGCACACAGGATACCCCTCCCAAGGGAACTACACAACGAAGCCTCACAACACAAACACAAACATAAGAACCGCCATTGACCTTTTTATATGACTGAAGTGCATCTCTACTACATATACGATCAACCCCTAACCCTGACCACACCCATACTCTATCACTCATGCTCTATCACCCATACTCATGCTCTCTATCACCCATACTCATGCTCTCTATCAATCATGCTCTCTATCACCCATACTCATGACCCACAGTATGCTGTATTGTTCGAGTTGCAACGACGCAAAATCCCCACTCTCTCTCCCAGCATCCATGTCCAGCATGTAGTTGGTCACTGGGGCAGGAAGTCAGTAACGTTTTTAGTCTTAAGTAGCGCACTAATGGTGGGCAGTTCAAAGCTGTGCCGATAGTCGCTGTAGCGTCTGCGACTGAAGTCCTCCTGTTCAAGTGCAGCTGCGGCGGGCATAGCCTCATTAAAGTCGGTAGGTATGTTCTGCATAACCTTGAGAGCGGCTGTGATCTGTTTGTATTCTGGAGGTGCTGGAGTGCTCCCATGGGAGCTACCACGAGGTGACAACGACCGGGGGGTGTTACCTCCTCGAGGAGTATTACCCCCTCGAGGAGTATTACCCCCTCGAGGAGTATTACCCCCTCGAGGAGTATTACCTCCTCGAGGAGTATTACCTCCTCGAGGAGTACTACCTCTTTCAGGGGCATCCCCACAAACTTCGGGGAGACCGTTCTGGACGGGTCCGACTCCGGCATTGCCTCCGGTTCCGGCAAGGCCGTTTCCTCCCCGAAGACTCTCGGCTCGCAACATATTCGGCTTCTCCGATTCGGCATCCCGGCCCGTCTCCCGATCCGGATCTCGGTTCGCTGGCAGGTTTCGCGGACTCAGCGAACGTTGACGGCCTGGACCTGATTGCTGACCTGGACCTGGTTGATGGCCTGGACCGGGTTGGCCGCCGTCCTGGGGTTCTTCGAGCAAGATACGGGGAATGGGTATTCGCGGTACGGGGATGCCGTAGATCTCGGCCTCCTTATTGGCGAAATTGTGTGAGTAGGTGGGATGGCAAAGGTCGTAGTCGCGGTCATCGAAGACGGGTCCTGGTTTGCCAGCGGACGGTGGATTGAGATCCCGCGGACTTATGCCAGCCAAGGCTTGTGCGGCATGGTCCATGAGAAAGGCCTCCGCCTCCATTTCCGTTGGACCGCGTCCACGCAACCAGCCGTCAGGACAGGTCGTGATGACCGGTTGCCACTTGTCGAAGTTGCGCAACACGTCACACACACACGCACGTCGGTCCTCACCACAACCACTACACGGCCCTGTCGGTTCCATCAACACCACTCGCTGACCCTGTTGTCGGGACACAAATACCTCGGGTTGCCATAACCCGCATATACAAGCCTCCGTGCCCACCTCCGCGGCATCGCAGGCTCGAGATCGATGTCCCTGGCAACCGCCGATGCCCGCAGACTTACTTCCGAATTGGTCGCTCCCGACTTGGTCGCTCCCGACTTCTTCGCTACCGACTTCTTCGCTCCCGACTCCCTGGCCACCCGCCATGTTGCAGCGACGCGCGCAGAAGGACTGGCGGCGGCACCGCTGGGTTGAGCACGGGGCGTGGGTCGAACACGGGCCGTCGTTCGAACGTGGACCGTGCGCCACAGGACACCTGCTGCGTTGGCACTTGTTGCCTTCGCATCGGCGACACGGGGCGAAAGGCTGCGGGCAATCGTCGGTCAGACGGTCAAGTGGTCCCAGAAGGTGCGAGCGGACCCGGGCTCGACGGCGGCTGCCGGCTGTGTGGTGGTGGCTACTACCAGAATAGTGTGGTGCATGTTCGCTGCGATGCGCAGCACGTGTCCCGAGTGACCGACCCCGGGCATGCAGCCTTTCCCTGCTGCCGACTGCGTGACAATGTCTGGAACCAAACGGCCTTTGGGAGGCAAAATGTACAGAACGATGCTGGTTGGACTCCTCGGCCTGGCTGCTCGACTTCTCGTCCCACCAACCTTCCACTGAGCCACCGCAACTGGAGTCGGCCAACGGGATGAACTGCGTATACCCCACCACCGGCGGGATAGGCGGGAATGCGTAAGACCCGCACGACGCGGCAGCCGAGACCCCGGACGCCGGGAATCCGGCCGCTGGGAATCCGGAGGCCGGGAATCTGGGCGTTTCGAACGGTCCGGCGGCTTTGAACGGCGGTCGGGCGGCGGTTTGAGACGGTTCGGTGGCAAAGAAGGCATCCGGGAGGGCGCCCAGGACCTCCAAGTGGCTAAAGCCGCTGCCGGAAGTTAAGTCACCTGCATCGCCGCACACGTGTGCGCGAACGAAATGGTCGCCGCCTCGGAGGCCTTGGAACGTAGCACGGTTTTGGTACGTGGCGCCAAGTGCGTATTCCTCGTTTTCTTTAACGTTTCGGCGGCCCGAATTCGGCCTTTTGGCTTTGCGTTTTCGGGAGTTCCGCTTGTTGGAGTCATCGCTGCTTTGACTCCTCGCGTCACTGCTTTGAACAGAGGCGTTGGGGCGCCATGAGCTTTGGCGGCCACGTAGACTGCTACTGGACGCTCGACTACTGCGGTCGCTGAAGGCCACGTCTCGTCGGCCCGCCGTTCTGTTCCGACTGGCTCTTTCCGGAGTCCTTTTCGGTGCTACCGGGCTTGCCTCCGTGTCGACAGGCTGCTCCCAGCCGGATGGAGGCCTGGTCGGCATTTGCCGCTGGCTTGGTACCGAGCTCGATCGCAGTTCGCCAATTACCACGTCATACAGATGCATGCTTCCGGCTTAGAGTGCAACCAACATGCGCAGCAGGTGGCATCAACCCCCTAGGCACTAACACCCTAGGCACTAACACCCTAGGCACTAACACCCTGATGCGCCATTCAGCGTTATTGAACAGTTTTGTCCTCCTCCACTAGGCTAACACCACACTAGTCAGCTGACCCCTTCTGTCCAATGACCATTGTAGGTAGAGAAGAAACTTTAACAGAATCGAAGAGTAGCATAGCGAAAGGTAGAACAGAATAGTGAATAACATGAGGCCACTCGATAAGACCTTGAAACAGTACCAAGCGTATCTAGATCCCTGTAATTCTAACGGCGATCCAACCCCCAGATCCGAACTAACATCCGTCGAGTCTACCAAGCTCTGATAGTCTCCAGCAGAAAGGAAGTACGCCGTACGATTTCCCATTGTCTGGGACAATATTGCACCAACTGCTCCATTATCGCCGTGGCTGCCCCCTGCCCATCTCGGACCCTCTAATCCCGTTCTGATTCTCTACGAACCGACGGAAGTCCACGTCTTTATCGGGCCGTGCATGATTCTGATGTACTGATCGTCGTTTACTGTGTACCTGGGGTGGAAAAGAGACAAATGGAATGCTATAAGTAGTAACATGTTGTAAAAACTTGTGCGTGAGCCGAAATCTTGCTGTAATAAGGCGGAATGTTTCGCGCTGGGATGATTCGCTGGGTGACGCCCCATGCGCCACGGCACGACGCCCCATGCACGTTTTTCGCCACGGCAGGTCGTCATAATTAGAGACTATCATTATCGTCGTCTTCTTCAGCTCTGGGTGGTGTTCCGGCTTGTTTGCCAGGTTGTAGAGTAGGGTTGGCGGTGAGATGTTGCTGAGTAGTGTTGGCGCAGCAGTCATTACAGATACCGCAGCATCCGACACGGCAGCATCCGACAGGGCAGCAGTCCACTCTGCGTCCGCAAATAATAGTGTCGGTACAAGTGAGTGGTTTGCAGGCTTCTTTGCATAGTGCATTCTTCTTCTTTTCGCGTCTTTGTCTTTGGTACTCTTCCCATGAAACTTTTTGTTGGCCGGAATTGACTTCCTGAGGTGCGACAGGTATGGGTACGACAACCGGTGGTGGTATGGCGACTTCTACGTCGAAGACGGGTCTGTATTTATACACTGGCACTACCTCTTCCTTTTTGACGTATTGATAGCTGACGATCTCCACACCTTCATCTTCAACTACCTCTTTTTCCACAACTTTCTCGCCAACGTACCAAGGAATCTCGTGTTCGGTTTTTCGATCGACAACTTGAATTTGAGGAATGGAGACTTGTATGACGTCTTGTGGACCGCAGTAGCGGGGGAAAAGACGAGGAACTTCACGCTCTTCCCAGGTGTGTTGTAATTTGAAGTTGATACCGACGGGTACCTCGACCTCTTGTTCCACGCCCACAATCTCGAGTTTGGGGATAGCTACCCGTCTTTCCCGTACCTCAAACTCTAGACGAGGTACTTCGTGAAACACTTCCTGCGTCCAGATGTTCGGCTGTACCTTATCCTTCACCACCGTCTGATCAACCTCAACCAACGTATCCTTCATAACAATGTTCTGTTTCACAGGCACCGGAATCACCGGCTGAGTCGCTTGAATCACACATGAACCATTATCCGCATTGCACCAACCAGATGTCCGATATTCAGGCGGTGCCACAGGTGGAATAACACCCGGAATCGGAGTGTAATTCGTATAGGGCGCATCCGGATAAGTCAAACGCATCACGTGCTCCTGAGCTTCAGACAATCTACCACCGGGACAACATCCCGCAAATAAACCCCCTGCCGATGCGTCTTCACCAATCGTCTGAACATCTGCACTCTCGCCATCCACTCCTAGCACCGCCTCTGTTACGTCCACTCGTGACCCCTCTGTCATCGGCGTCTTGCCTGCCGTCATCGGTGTCTTTCTGTCTGGGTCGTAAGACGACATACTAGCATGCAAACTCCAAGGTGCAACTTCACCGCAAACGCGCGGGATAAGACGCGAACAGGAACACCACCAACTCCAGTAGACAACTAGTCTACACTCAATTCAACTGGGACAATGCGCAAGTCCCACGACAGTGCCACTTTTTGTAATGGTTCTGCCACTTTCTCACGCGATCACGCACGCGTCATCAGGCTGTGTTTGCCCTGTAAACACGTGTGTGCGCTGTAAACACGTGTGTGCGCTGTAAACACGTGTGTGCGCCGTAGCTAGATGAACTACATGTGTAAATGAATTACGAGTACACCTTAACTAGCGGCCGCAGGACCATGCTACGCACTATTTCACTCTGCATCGTGCGTGCCACTCCAGCTTTTGGGTGCAGACGGCTTGCGAGGTGCGGTACATGAAGTTTTGGCTAGCAGGCATTCTTGGTCTGATTAGCGTGACCACTACGGCAGGCAACAGCTTAAGTTGTATCTCGAGGGTCTGGACACGAAGTGCATTCAATTTGATAGTTTTTGCGGTATGGTCAACGACCCATGTTAATGCAGCAGCAAGTTCGAGTACATCCAGTTGGGATGAGAAAGTACATGAGGCAGTGACACCGAAGGAGTTACGTTTGGATCTAGGTTCGTTCAGCGAATATCCCAAGTTAGTATTGGAAGTATTGCGTGCTGGTGCAAAGAGTTCAGCGTATGCGGCGGAATCATCGGATGCTTGGCGACCAATATTGGATTTGGCGAGAAAGTTTCATGAGAAGAATGACCACTATCTGGTGGATTTTGGTACCAGTGCAATTAGGGGATTATTAGAAAGCAGCAAAGTATATTGTTATGACCGCGTGGATTTATTGGAGAATCGATCACAGAAGAGTGTGGATAAGAGTCCAACGGTTTTTTATAACCTGGCCTCCATCGCATTGAGAGGTGGGATATCTGGATATGAGTGGCGCGGATTATCTTTTGAATCGTCAGTTAATTATGCCGAATATCGCTTAATGTTTGAGCGTGATACTGATGTGTCTGTTTTCAATCTGAGTAATCCAGATGAGTTCTATCGTAAGACCGTAGCTGTGACCTGTTTGGTACCGACCACGGTTTACCCGTTTGCCAAGACCTGGCATCAAGTCGTGAGCGAAATTTTAAGTCGTGGTGGTCGGACGGACAAAAATGGCGAGTGGCTGACCATGAATTTGCAGGAGGGCCGAGGCAGTATTAGCCGTCTCTTCGCCGTCAAATTGGTAATCCACCCTTCTCGCCAAGACTACCCGGCGGGCATGTTAGCACGCTCCATCCAAGAGAACAATCGAGTACTCTATAAAGAACCGGCACTGAAACTCATACACTTCTCAAGTGTATTGTATCAACCCGGTGCACGCGGACTCCGTTCGGGTCACTACATTCCGGTGTACGGTGATGCCGCACTTACACAGGGCGGCTTATTCACAAACGACAAGGCCGCCACGGCCGCCACGGCCGCCACGGCCGCCATGGACGTTCCAATGGTGGACGCGAAAGCCACGATTGTGGGCGTTAGTGCTATTGGAGGTCGCGTGTTCAATCACCAGCATATGACCTTCCCGATTTTCGTGAGTGATACGGCACCGAGTGCAGATTTGCTGTATACCATGGGCGACAGCATGATGAACGGCTGGCCTAGTGTTTGGGTAGTGTTGGTGGATAGTAAAGGTACGGCTGCGGCTGCGGCATCTCGAGGTGCTGCCAGAGGTGGTGCGGTAGGGGACAAAGTGAAGGATCCAGTTAACTACAGCATTGCCGCATTGGCTGGAGCCGCATGGTTACGAAATATTATGACCAATTTGTACACTGGGTACACGCACACGAACACACTATGGAAAGGTGACCTGAATAGTTACTATAATGTGATAAAGCAGCGCATGGCGGAAGAAAAGGTCACTGATCCGGGATATGCGGCTAATGTGTTGGCCGATAGCGCACGTCGTGGCTTTGTTTGTCCAAAGGCCGAAGATCCCACCACCGTGGACTATAAGCAGTGGTTTGAACGTCCGGCTGCTGGCCGTACTCAGACGGGTGGCGCAGGAGCGAAGGGACTTGTACTTAACAAGATTGCGCCCGCCGTAACTAAAAACGCAAAGTGCATATCACCATGGACGCAGGCGAGCTACACCAAACCGCATATGTTCGGCCAGCCGTTCCTGCGTCTACCGCAGGTTCTCGTCTTCGATTATGGCTCCGTGACGGGCAAAGATGTCGAAGTCGGGGCCACCAAGGCAACGGATACTTTCCTGGAGCAGATAAAAAAACGTGTGCCGAACATCAAACCTGATTTACGTCGAGCTACACTCGTCTTCCAGGACCCCTCACCCCGCGTAAAAGTTATGACCAAATTTCTGTTGCCTAACTTCCGCATTCTTGATGTTGAAGCACGGAAAGTCCCAACGCACCAAGACTCACAAAAATTACACGTTGATGACATATTCAGAGCCTCTCAAGACGACTTCGCTTACCAAGACGCTCTCCGCACGATTCCTCTCACAGAATTCGAAAATGACCTTGGTATGATCGGAGGAGACACGACCACTGATAACACATACATCAAAGTGAAACGACCTAGCAGCTATATAACCAACGCCGCATATTCCTCACGTGATCTTGCCGCTTCCGTCTTCGGTGATGTCGTGTCTGCCTGCGTCCGACATCTTGAAGGCGCAACCAAAAACGTTGCAATCAAATGGCACCTATTCCATGACTTTATTAACTCAGGAAAAAATGCACGTGATGAACAGGCACGTGATGACGTATTCAAACGCGATGTAGCACTCGTCTGTGATGCCGTCAGTGATCGTGAAAAGAACACACACGTTTCCAAGGATACCAAACTAACTCCTCTCGTTAATAAGATATATGAAGAATTCGACGTGCAATCACTATACTCCAAATAAGCCGCCCTTGGTCATACCACCCTTGGTCATACCACCCACGTCATTTGGATATATCTAATCAGGGAGAGGGCATGATAACCATCGGCGCTGTTAGACCAATAGAAGCCTTACTCAGCCTCTAAAGAGGCGACAATGAGAAAAATGACAGTGGGAGAAGTGTCACCAAATTAACCTCCAGATGTCTTCCGTTTCTTCAGTACATCTTCCCATTAACGATCCGTCAAAACAAAGTCGATCGGAATGGACAATGTTCGTTGACTGAAATGACAACTGTATCCGTGCGATCTAGTTAGATGTAGTCCCCGGGGTGTCCCTGGTTCCTGGGTGTAGTGTTCTTACAAGCTTATCATTACCATCCAGAGATGAGGTATCAGCATCCTTGAATGAGACTATCGTGCCGTTCACATATGCCCAAATTTGCCCCGGGTTTTGGTCTACAGCAATACGCATGTGCTCGACTATGATCGAGGGTGTTTTATCATACGCGAGAGTGTTTTATCATACGCGAGAGTGTTCAAATATGCCGGGTATTCGTTCGAATATGCCGGGTTCGAACGTGTGTGTGTACGAAATATATTTACTTGATAGCATTCTATTCCACTTGCATTCTTGAAGTAGGGTTTCATGAGGTGATTGTTCATAAACGGTAAATCCCGCTCCAATTCCATCAGGTTGGATGGTAGTGAGACACAGCTTAGTGCCGAGATTGTGTAGGAATCTATTTCCAAGTATGTTGGCCCACATTTGATATTTATCGCTACGTTGGCATGGTAATTGAGCGAGTGTGAATCCGTGTCCATTATTGTTAACAGCGGTAAGGCAGAGTCTATTGGATTTATTTTGAAGGTAATGATAGTCATGTTCAAGTAGTCCAAGGCGTTCGAAGGCAGATCTGAACTTATTTACGAACGTTTGGAATGGTTTACAATTTAGACGTTGGCGAATTAACTGACGATACTCAAGCCCGTTACCTTCGTCAAGAGTATTAACGATTGGGTGATACTTGAGCATGTATTGGTAATAATCATCAAGCCAAACGATTGCGGCCCTCTTCTGATTCCTTTGAACGTTTCTTACCAAAGAGTTGCCTGGGTTCGGTTTCTTAGGTCGGTCAAAGATGTGTCCTATCCGGCTTAACGGAATATTTTCCGAGGAGGGTACTCCGGGAATTGAACCCACGACATCCGGTTCCGAGTCAGACTCGTTACTGCCAGGTGCATCAACTACCGCTGGCATGGCCACATTCGGTATAGACCCCGGCGCAAGTTTAATGCCGCCACCACAGAGCCAAGTGCGCAAACTCTGTTCAATATTCTCACCTCCCCATTCCAACATGCCTGCGTCATACTTACCACTCTCAAGCCACCATTTTTTTGTCATAAGCATGATCCCGCCAGGCATAATGGGTACGTCATAACTGAAATCTTCATACCAATCAAATTCGAAAGTCCAATCAAACATCATCTTCACTCCATACGTATCCTTATCTTCCCATGTAAATCGATCTATATCGTATATTTGAGGCACCGCTATTGTCTTGTAACCATACCTCTCGACCACCTGTAGTAATCCTAATTCCCAACCCGGATCAACTCGACAGTGCCCATCCAAAAATAGAATGTTCGAACCCAACGCCAAATCTGCCCCCACAATCTTAGACCGAATCAACCCCTCGCCAATTCCAAAACGTAACACCTTAATCATCTTCCGCAACTGCTCGCCTGAAAAATGACGCTGAGTACTCGTACCCCTGGGACTATTGGGTTCTGGACCGTTGCGCTCTGGACCGTCGGCGTCCTGACCGTTGGAGTCCTGACCGTTGGAGTCCTGACCGTTGGAGTCCTGACCGTTGGAGTCCTGACCGTTGGAGTCCTGACCGTTGGAGTCCTGACCGTTGGAATTCTGACCGTTGGAATTCTGACCGTTGGAACCAATTCGGGTCGAGTAGCCATTTTTGAACAGTGTGTTGCGGAGCAACACGGCCACGGGCAGTTTGCTGGCATCATCGACAACGATGACTTCCTTCAATACCTCCGCGGGTGTGTTGTCCAGGAGGTATTGGATCGTCTTGACTATATACTCGTCTTCATCACGAACCACTATTACCACGGATATATCACGACGATATTCCCAGCTATCGATCAAAGCACGATCGTCTTGGAATAGGGCGCGGAGATTCTCCCACGACAAATTACCTGGCTCACCCTCTTCAGCCCGTGTAGCTTCCCTTGAAAGGGACTCACCCAGTGAGTCCACTCTGACTGACCCTGGGATTGCTATTATTTCTGAGACCAGTCCTGGGCTACCTTTCCTGAAGGGTCGGGCCCATGAGTCGCCGTTTATGTCACCGCCGTCCGGGTCACCGCCGGTGAGATGTTCTTCTATGTTATCGAGAATGTCGTCGTGCCCTGAGGTCCTAATCATCTGTCCGCAGAACCAGAGTCCGTGCAGTCCATTGTAGGTAATCGCAATCGCAACAGACAGCAGAACAGTACTGGACAGCAGCATGGGCATTTTCGGCTTGCTCAACGTAGCGTATCGACATACTACCAACCACACAGAAGCAGCCAAGGCCGGACATAAACCCACGATCCACTTCCACCATTGCCATCGGCGATTGCTAGTTACTACCAGAGCTGCCGCTGAACCACCCAGGATAGTGAACATTCGTACGCACAGATACCGGTCGACAAGTCGCCGACACCAAGACCTAAGCATTTTTGAAAACAGACTGCACCGATTGCAAGACCGAGTGGTATATCACAGACCAAAGGGCGGTCGGTAGTACAGACCAAATGTCGGTCGGTAGTACAGACCAAAGGGCGGTGGGTAGACAGATCAAAGGGCGGTGGGTAGACAGACCAAAGGGCGGTCGGTGGACAGATCAAAGGGCAGACAAAAGGAGTTCAAAATAATTTAATGGACAACATCACTCCCACGGGCACGACCAAAGAGCGTGGCGAGACACATGGAGGAGATGGCGGCTACCTACAGGAGATAAGGAAGTTCGAGGCGTACGAGGCTGTTCCGTTGCCGCTGATCCTGACGCACCTAAAAGCAGGCAGTGATCGACCTTCGCGCAACTGCATCTGCAAACCAGCATCGGGCGCTCACCACAAACAACCCACTGTCCTCCTCAAACCAAAGGAGAAGTACACCATCCTAATTGACATCGACAATACCATGAACGACTGGGACAGACAATTCAGGCAAGCGGCACATACATACACTGACGTAACACACGGACAACGTCGCCCGATATTTTTGTCTGACACACACGTTTTTGTTTGGTACTATACATGTATGGATCGTTAGGCGCATGTGTGGTTTCTTCTATCCCGAGTTGCGTATGGTGGAGCCTGAGGAGCGGTTGCATTATTGCATGGAAGATAACTTGGTTGGTGAGTTACTGAAGTCTTTGCCGGACCATTTTCGAGAACTAAAGGGGTTTTGGAAGTCCATGCCAATGGCTGAGGGTTGTCGTGACGCGGTGTTGGAGATGATGGAGTTAGGTTATGATGTGTACTTCTTGACGAAGCCAGACTCTAAATACCTGGGACGATCTTGTGAAGAGAAGGCCGAATGGTTGGAACGACTTTTTGGAGCACAATTTAAATCCCACATGATTCCATGCTGCGACAAGACACTTGTCAAGGGACACGTGCTAATTGACGACAATCCCACTACCAGCAAAGGCTCACGTAATCCGGAATGGACTCAGGTGTATTATTGCCAACCATATAATGCCTCACAAGAAGGACTTCGACTTTGTGAATGGAAAGACTGGAAAGAGGTACTACCCATACCTGTCGCCGCCCTACCTGAACCAGCGATGGACGCATAAGCAGACAGACGTACGACGCGCCTGTGGTTTTCAGCGGGCGAATGTGTAGCAGATCAGGGGTGTTACAGATCAGGGGTGTAGCGATGGACCGCGGTGGGCGAGGTTGAGTGCCATGATACGACCTCGGGTTGCGGGAGGGTCGTTGTGAGAACATTAGGTATAAAAAGACGATGCCTCCTCCTATCCGAAAGTATCGTCAAATATAGATACCCGTCGAGGAATTGCACACATCGCCGCAGTGGTTAGCTCCCTGAAGTTTGTTCCATGATAGCAACTCCGTGGCAACTGGATCCACTAAAGTTAGGCCGCCCAATGGAATAGCCCTACCAGAGTTTCCTCCGTCTGAGTTACCCCCTCGGTAGTAGCAGCCCCGCAACAGCAGCTCTTCGGAACAGTTCCGTGGGCCCCGGCTCTGTGAGAGTAGCTCCGTTTGTGTTAATGCGTGAAAGGTCACATGGTGGTGGTCGCGTGATGGTAGTCACAAGGTGGGAGCCGGTCGCGCAATGCGTGCTCTGATCTCTCGTGAATCCCAGCCGTTTGCGGCCATGTCCATTTCTTCTTTGGAGGAGGCGAAGAGTTCAATGTACCGTCGTTCCATCCGGGCCTTCTGTCGCGTCCGCAACGCCCGGCTTGCCTCCGCCGCCGTCTTGAATTCTACGTAAGCCTCACCCGACGGTCGCCCGTCTACCGGCACCGTCGTGGGCAAAATGGTTAGCATCTGGTAGCCCTCGAAAAACCTCTGCAGGGAATAAGGAATGGGAATGGGGAGTACCTCCCAAGGGGGCAATTCCCAATGGGGGGAGGAGGAGGGGGAGGGGTTTTCCCCGGGAGGGGAGGTTTTCCCCGGGAGGGGAGGTTGTCCCCGGGGGT